CATATATAATTTTTTTTTTAGGCAATTAGGGTTAAGTGACTTGCCCACGGTCACACAGCTAGTAAGTGTCAAGTGCTTGGTCTGAGGCCAAATTTGAATTCAGGTCCTCCTGACTTCAAGGCTGGTGCTCTATCCACTGCACCACCTAGCTGCCCCATACATATATAATTTTAAAGATTAAAAAATATCCTTTTTGTTTCAGATACTTCATTCAGGTTCAAAAATAGAATAGTATTCTTGGAATAAAAGTCCTTACGTATGAAACTGATCAGAAAGCAAATGCTACTTGAAATAATAAACAACTTTAATAAAGTTGTAGGATATAAAATAAACCCACATGAATCAATGGCATTTCTATATATTACTAACAAAGCCCAACAGCGAGAGATAGAAAGAGAAATTCCATTTAAATTTACTGTAGACATCATAAAATATTTGGGAGTCTATACTTTTCACACAAATAAAGTCAGATCTAAATAATTGGAAAAATATCAGTTGCTCATGGGTAAGCTGAGCTAAAATAATTAAAATGACAATTCTACCTAAATTAATTTACTTATTTAGTGCCATACCAATCAAACTATTAAAAATTATTTTATAGAGCTAAAAAAATAACAAAATTCATCTGGAAGAACAAAAGAAAAAGAATATCAAGGGAATTAATGAAAAGAAATACAGGGGAAGGTGGCTTAGCCATACCAGATCTTAAATTGTATTGTGAAGCAGCAATCATTAGAACTGCTTGGTACTGTCTAAGAAATGTAGTGGTGGATCTGTGGAATAGGTTAGGTATACAAGACCCAGTAGTCAATGACTATAGTAATCTACTGTTTGATATACTCAAAGACTCTAGCTTCTGGGATAAGATCTCACTATTTAACAAAAACTGCTAGGAAAACTGGAAAACGGTATGGCAGAAACTAGGCATAGACCAATATCTTGGACCATAAAACAAAATGAAGTCAGAATAGGTACACAATTTAGATATAAAAAGTGATATTATAAGGAAACTAAGAGAGCAAGAATAGTTTACCTGTCTGATTTATGGAGAACAGAAGAATTTATGACCAAACAAGGGAGGGAGAATACTATGAAATTCAAAATGGATAATTTTGATTATATTAAATTGAAAAGTTTTTGTATAAAAAAAGCCAATGTAACCAAGATTAGAAGGGAAGCAGGAAGCTGGGAAACAATTTTTACAACCAGGTGTCATTTCTAAAATATGTAGAGAACTGATTCGAATTTATAAGAATACAAGTCATTCCCCAGTTGAAAAATGGTCAAAGGATATGAACAGACAATTTTCAGATGACGAAATTAAAGCTATCTATAGTCATATGAAAAAATGCTCTAAAACATTATTGATTAGAGAAATACAAATCAAAACAACTCTGAGGTACCACATCACACCTATCAGACTGGCTAACATGACAAAACAGGAAAATGATAAATGTTGATGATATAGGAAAATTGGAACACTAATGCATTGTTGGTGGAGTTGTGAAATGATCCAACAATTTTGGAGAACAATTTGGAACTATGCCCAAAGGGCTGTAAAACTGTGCATATTCTTTGATCCAGCAATAGCACTTGTAGGTCTGTATCTCAAAGAGATCATACAAATGAGAAAAGGACCCAAATGTATAAAAATATTTACATTAGCTCTTTTTATGGTGGCCAAGAATAAGAAATTGAGAGGATCGCACCAACTGGGGAATTGCTGAACAAATTGTGGTATATGGATGTAATGGAATGCTATTGTTCAAATAAGAAATGAAGAGCAGGCAGACATCAGAAAAACCTGGAAAGACTTACATGAAGTGATACTGAGTGATGTGAGCAGAACCAGGAGAACATTATACACAGTAACAGTAACATTATGTGATGAATAACTTTGATAGACTTAGCTCTTCTCAGCAATGCAAGGATCTAAGACAACTCCAAAGGACTCATGATGAAAAATGCTATCTATATCCAGAGAAAGAACTATGGAGTCTGAATATAGATTGAAGCATATTATTTGTTCTCTCTCTCTCTGTCTCGTTCTCTCTTTCTCTTTTCTCTTGTGGTTCCCCCCATTGGTTCTAATTCTTCTTTACAACATGACTAATGCAAAAATATGTTTAATGTGAATGTGTATGTAGAGCCTGTATCAGTTTGCACTCCATCTTGGGAGTGACAGGGGTAGTATAGGGAAGTGTAGAAAATTTAGAACTCAAAATCTTATGGAAGTGAATGTTGAAAACTAAAAATAAACTAATTAATAAAAAGAGTAGAGTTTCAAATGGTAATTGCAGTTGGTATCACCTAACTTAGATTCATTATTCATTTCTGCGTTGACACACAGTTTTCTAAGTGCAGCTTTCATGAATGTTAGCAGAGATATTCTGATTTAATATCACAGAAGGATGTTGCCCTTCAATTCTAATAAATGCAATATTTAAATAAATATATTTTCCAGTAGAAAAAGTAAAAACATAATTCCTTAAGCATTTATTAAAAACCTACTATGTGTAGGAAGTCCTTGAGAAAAGATCCCAGAGAATGTTAGCATTTTCCTTAAAATAAACATGTGTTATTAGAATACTTTTGCACATCTTCCAGCATTTGAAATATAATTGTCTTGGTGTTTCTCCTCCCATTAAGTGATTTCTATACTAGCAAACTGAAAATGAATATTTCTTTGGACTCTAGAAAACAAGGGAATCAGAGAAGCTCCAGGTTGGGAGGGGCCTTGGGTGGTCATCTGGTTTTAGAGAGATGCAACTAATCTTTCTGGTGATTGAGACAAGTGCCACAAGATGTGGTTGTGGTAGAGAGTTGAGTGGGAGATGGAGAATGTCACGGAGAGATCTCCCAATCTGACATAACAAGTGTTCCTGTGTAGAGAGACCCTAAATATCATTCACCAGAGTAGAAAGACCTTGAGGCTGCTTCTAGAGAGAACACTATTGGAAGAAGGAGCAGGGCAGGGGTGAGTCTTGTGGCAGTTCACTTAGGGTATGGCTGCCAGAGGAGTAGAAAGTAGATATATGGTAGCTTCTTAGTTTATTTTTGCTAATTGGGTCTTAATCACATTTGCTTCTAGCTCTTGTACTGTCAGTAGTCCCTAAATTTCAATACTCTTGGCAAAACACTGGTTTCCCAGCTTCTTATTGCTCTACAGTCTAACTGAAGATGTAACCCAAACCTAAGAAAACTAATACCCCAACTCTCCGTATAATCCAGGTTACTTGTAATGTAATATTGTGTGTACGTGATGTATCCCTCTCAAAAAAAGTAAGCTCCATGAGGGCAAGGACTGTTTTATTTTTGTTTTTATATCTCCAATGCTAGTATAGTATTTGGCACATAGTAGGCATGTAAGAAGTACTTGTTAAATTGAATACTGGGTTTGTTGGAAGTGTAGTAGGGAACCACTTTAGAATCTATGCCCCAAGTGTCTTCTTGTCTCAAACAGTTAATTTGATTCCAGCTTATAAATCTCTAGGGAATTAACTACAAAAGTCTATACTTTGGGCGGCTTTCCAATGAGGGCATGTGTTATCTCCCTCCTCTATTCTGAGATGTGCGTTGGGGAATCTAGACAAGTTGTGTTGTCCTTATAGAGGGAGACTTTAGGAGTTGGGTAGTTGATGGAAATCTCAAAATTCTTCTAAGTTAAGTCATGACTTTTTTTTTCAAGGGCCTTAAAATGGTGTTTACCTGCTTCAAACTTACAGAGAAATGCTTTTATTACTCTAAAATGCCTCCATTTTATAAATGAAATACCAAGTTAGGAATTAGGAGGCTATGAGAAAACAACATGGAATGATATTAAACCTACATGACCCACTGCCTCACTTGGGGAGAGAGAATTGATTAACAAACATGGTTTTCTATGTGCAACCCCAGTACCAAAGCCCATTAGTATAGGACCCTTTCTTTGAGGGGCAAAGCAGAGTTGGTGAGAGTGGGAGAGTTCTAGCCTTCTTCAGTCTTCTTCTAGTACTCTTCAAACTTTGAGTCACTTTGGCTTCCAGCTTCAAGAAGGAAAATGGAGGAGGCCAACTCCATTTCTGGTTACTGAAGGTAAAGACTCCAGGAAGACATGAGAGAAGCTGGAATTCTCCATCATATCACTTTTCCCAGCTTTCTACACCAGAGACTTCAGGGAATTTCCCCTTGAGTGAGATTTAGGACTTTCTCTCAGTTGAATTGAGTTGTCTTCTAGTGGGAAAGCTCCTTTGCTCTGTATTGTTTAGTATACATTCTCCTTTGCATACCTTATTTGATTTCTGTTTTACCACTGATTTGAACAAATGGATTTTCCTGTACATTCATTGTGAAGTTGGTATTAGGTGGAAAAGGGATCAAATCTTGGATACAAAGCATGGAGTCATGCCTCCCAATAAGGAAATAATGATTAGAAATTAGACTGACTCTGATAACATCCCCTAGATGAACAATATTTAAGGGAGCAGCTAGATATTATTCCTGGTACTCCTTCTCTCTGAGGAGAGTAAAGAGTGGCCAAACTTCTGACCCCAACCTCTAGTTTGTCCTTCTGGCAGGAACTGGTCTCTCTTGAAGAAGGATTGAGGGAGAAGAAGCTAGAAATGTCACTTATGCCTCTCTTTGAGCCTTATAACAATATCCCTATGCTACCTGGGGGGACAGCTTTTGTCACATGTAAGATCTCTCAACATATGTGGAGAACTCACCTTGTGACATTGATATAAAGAACTCCTTGATAAAGAAACTCTTTCTCCCAATTCAGGATAACATATCGTATTCAGCTTATACTCTTAGATGCCTAGTGCACTGTTCAGTGACTTGCTTAAGGTCACATTGTCAGTAGGAATCAGAGGCAGCACTTGAAGCCAGGTCTTCCTAACTTCAAGGCCAATTGTCAATACACTTTTTTTTAAAAATGATGTTTCTTCTCCTATAGAAAGAGAAAGTGAAAAATGATTGGAGTTTGGTTTTAATGAAAAATGATTTTGTTTCCTTCACAGGATTCATTTGGAAGAATCTCTTCAATCAAAAGCATGAAAAGGAAAAGCATACTTTCACAGATTAGAAACATATCTTTTGCATCTGTTCCAGATAGCTCTTCATCAGAAGAGAGCAAAGTGCCCAAGACTCCTCCCAGAAGTACCAATGTTGAGACCAATCCTGAAAATAAATTTTTATATCCATGTCTTAAGTTTCCAAATTTAAAAGGTAGTGGGACCATGGCTGAAGATGATAAAGGCAACTTTGTGCAAGGTAAGGTTTGGAAGCTTCTGTTAAAATTCAATCCCAATGACTCATTGTTGCATGGAGGTGATTCTGGGTTCTCAAAGGTCTGACAAAGCTGGAAAGGTTTTGAACATGGGCCTGGCAATGGATTGTGTGGTTGGCTTTATTGTTCCCTTGCTTCTATTTTTTTTTATTCTGTATTGGCTCATATAAGTTTTCCTATATTTCTCTGAATTCTTCATAGTCATGATTTATTAAAGCAAAACAATTTTCTATTACGCTCATATCCTACAATGTGTTCAGCTGTTCCCTAATCATCAATCACTCATTTTGTTTCTGTTTTTTTTATATATGCTGCTATGTATATTTTGACATTTAAGACCTCTTTTTGTGATAATTTGTCTTTGATTTCCTTGAGGTATATGCCTAATATTAGGATTACTGTGTCAAAAGGCATGAATAGCTTAATAAATTCCAAATTATTTTCCAGAATGGAAATCTACAGCTCTACCAAGTATATGAATGTGACTGTCTTCTCACTGACCTCTTTCCCCTCCTTTGGCATAGCTTGTTTGTGATTATTTTTTCATTGATTGCTTTAGGATTTCTATTTCTTGTTTTGTTCATCTGCTTTTAAAAATATTTTTGTGAATAATCACATATTTTCTTTAATTTTTCTGGTTTGTTGGCATGTGCTTGCGCATAATAAGTTCTGATAATTTTTCTTCTTTCCTCTCTATAGTGAATTCATTTTTTTATTTTTGTTTTACTTTTGGTAATTTGATTTTTTTTTGTTTCATGATCAAATTTGTTATTTATTGATTTTGTTCGCAACCATTGTTAAAATTATTCTCAGTTTTGTTAATTTTCATAATCTTTTTGTTTTTAATTTGTTTTTTCTCTAATTTTCAAAATCTCTTTTTTTGCACTTGTTTCATGTTTATTAATGCTTCATTTTCTAACTTTTTGAACTACATATGTGGGACATTAGTCCTTTTTTTCTGATTTTGTTATATGTTTTCAGAGGTATAATTTTTCCTCTGAAGACTGCTTTAGCTTTTATGTTTCATATTCTCCCTCTTTATTATTATATTTTTCTTATGGTATATCTTGAAATCTAATCTTCTATTCATGCACCATAAGATTGTACAGTCTTTATTAATTCTCCTGAGAGAAGTCTTTTCATCTTCCTCTATTCTATTCATCTATCAGTGTGATCATAAATCACCATTCTTTGTTTGCTATTTTTAATCTATTTTTACATCCCTCCTTCCACATCATTTACTTCCATTTTTCATGTGCCAGTGACTTTCCTCTGAAGTTACTGCCCACCCCCCCAATATCAATCCATTTCTGAGGCAATATGGCTTTAAGTCCATCGACTTGTTCATTCAAATATTAGTTAATTCAGATCTTTCTTCTGACCATTTTTTATCCCTTTAAAGTTTAAAGCTTTAGATAATTTTGTCCTTAAATGATCTCCTTTTGTTCTCTCTTGGCCCTTTGCTATTATTCAAAAAATTACATTCGAAATTGTAGCTTTTTCTTGCCATAGAATGATGGGAGAGTTGATTGCATTGCTTTTTATTTTCTTGCTAATTTTATTCATTTAGCTTTCTTGTGTTTGTCCCATTTGAAGTATTTCCACATTGAATTGCTCACTCCCTTCTCATTTCTTTTGGAGAAATGAAACATCTCCTCTTTTTGTTGAAAGCACATTTTTTTTTTCATTGAGTAGGCTCAAATTTTCATGGTGGTTTTTGTTTTTGAGAGAACATTTCCTTTCCTTTTTGGAATATAATACTCTAGTATTCTATTTCTCATAGATAAGTGTAGTCCTAACCTGTTCAACTTTGCTATCCTTGGTAGCTAAAGTTTTTTTCTTGGCTGCCTGCAATATTTATTGTTTGACATTGAGATTTTGAAGTTTAAGTATTACAATCCTCACTTATTTAAGGTTGAAATCTCTCAGTCATAGAATCCACCAATCATTGCAAATTAATACGTTGCCCTTTGTTTTCAATACTTTTATGATTTTCTTGCATCGTTTCCTACAAATGACATTGAGATTTTTGATATTTTGTAAATTCTTTCTGAGAGACCTATCCTCTTCAAATTAATTACCCTTTCCTCAAGGCCAGTCATTCTGACTTATTCAGAACTCATGTGATCATCCTTTAATTCTATTTTGTCAAAAAATGTTCCCACATATGTGTATATTTTATAAATCTCCCATTCTCTTCTTAAAAACTTTTTCCATCTTAAAGACATTCTCTCAAATGTTCCAAATTACCTATTCTTTATTTTTAATTACTTTTTATAACAGCTATGATTTCTTCTGTAATTTCATTCTTAATTTCCATCTTTCCATCTTCTTCATTTTCTTATCTCTTTTTTGAACCATTCCAAAGGCATTTTTTCTATCAATCCATTAATCAGGGGGTGGGGAGGACAGAGATTAATATGTTATTTGTTTTGGTATCTTTTATATTAGAGATTTGCAAGTCAGTTTCTTATTGTATAATATTTCTTCATAGTGTTGCAAGCTTTTCTGTTTTCCTTGGGTCTTCCTGCTATTTTCTTCCTGCTTGAGAGCTTGGCTTATCTGCAACTTTTTAGTTCCAATCTGTTGACCTTCTTGCTATCTGCCCCTTCTGTTCTTCTAATGAAGCAGTTTGTGCGCGGCTTATACGTGACCTATTCTATTCCTGATACCATCATCACCTTTCACATTGAAGTATACACCTATATGTTTGTGAATGACTTTGTTTTGAAGTTGGTGTGAGGATAACCATGCAGCATTCTCAACACACAAATGTAAAGATGCATGTTTCACTATGTGCTGTGTGTAGGCAGTAGTTTTGGTGGTGGTGACCTGTGATTTGATTAGTGTGGGGAATTCCTGGTGTTTCAACTCCCTCTAACTCTGTAGAGCTACATCTGGCTTGTGTACTGTAAGGCCCCTCCCCCAGCAGTTCTTCTATTGTTTTCTCCTGTTCAGACTACCACAGTGGCTCTCAATGTTAAGAAGGTTGGAAATATCTATTCCAGGTCTCTGCTATGTGGAAATGCCACCTGGAGATGACTGGGTAGGTTTATACCACTTCCCCTTCCTTTGGCAGGGATGATTGTCTCAAGATTTCTTTTTATCCTCCCCATCCCTGACCTCCTGAATTGTTTACTCTTTCTGGTTGCATGGTTGGGCAGGTATGGTGCTTTCCTCTACTCCTACGTCTTCCTGTAAGTAGTGGCCTTGGAGGGGGTGGATGGGTGGTTGCTACTGGCTGAGAAGGAGTGTAGTAGACACCCCTCTAGCTAAAATTTGAAATAGAAACATGGATGACATACTGGGTAGGATCAATGGGCCCTCTTCCATTAATTTCAGATTGTATGGAAATGTTTTTCCCTTCTCTTGTTGCAATTTTAATTATTTTCTCCAACTGTCCTATGTATGTTTTTTTTAGACTTGGGTTGAGTATACTCAAAACTCATTTCGTTTTGTTTTGATTTTTATACTTAGCAGAAGTTTTAGTCTAAAATAGTAATGAATGAAATAGTAATGCTACTCTGAAAAGAATGGATTCCAGTGTTAGTTTTTGTTGTCATAAACTTTGCTAATGGAGACTGAAATAACATTGTAGTAAATGAGGGTTTCAGGAATAGATTTCTTCCTGCCTTACCTCATCGGGTTTTTCCTTCTTTTCTTCCTAGCTTTTGTTCAGCTATTTTTCAGTCATGTCTGACTCTTCATGACCCATTTGGGATTTTCTTGGCAAAGATACTGGAGTAGTTTGCCATTTCCTTCTCCAGCTCATTTTACAGATGAGGAAACTGAGGCAAAAAGAATTAAGTGACTTGCTCAGGGTCACACAGCTAATGTGTCTGAGGCCATATTTGAACTTAGGAAGATGAGTCTTCCTGGTTTCAGGTCCAGTACTCTATCCACTGCACCATCTAATTTCCCTCTCTTCTTTCTAATTCTTCCTTAATCCTCTGTGCTAGCATTGTGTGCCTCCATTCAACTCTTGTGATGATATGGGAGGCAGTATGATAGATAAGGCTCAACATGGTATGGGAGTACCTGGGTTGAAATCCCAGCCATGCCACATACTATTTTTATAACTTTGGGCAACTCATTTAACCTATTTAGACCTTAGTTTTCTTATCTTTAAAGTGAAAGGTTTGGAGTAGAATAAGACTCTTCCTCACTATCTTATCCTGTGATCATTTTTCTCTGCCTCCGTAATGTGGAAATATCATGGAATCCAGTATTATAGAGCACCTTCCTTACTCCCCAGGTAAATTGGCTGTTTGAATGTGACTCAGGGAAGCTGCCTGACTTAGGTAAAGTTGGAAAATTACATACCCTTTTGTCTGATAATTACATATGCAGTGCATAATTAGTAATAAGTTAAACTTTCCTCCTAATGAATGCAACTTCATTTATCACAAAATAAATATGTATATATCATGAGGGAAGAGAGGGGAAGAATGTTTTGGCATTAAAATTTAACATTTAAAAACTGTCCTTAGTTGCACACCTTCCTCCTACATATTGTGTCCTAGGTAGCTACCCATCTTGCTACCCCTTCTCTGCTCTTTGCAAAGATTTCTTACCTGAAATAGATTGTGACCTCCTCTTATGCTGCAATTTTGAATCCATCATGAGGAAATTCTAGTTGATGCCAGCCTCTATGTACAGTCAACTTTGTTCCTAGAGAATTTGTTAGTTAAAAAGTTATTGAATTAGGTGGGTTGACTAATTGGACCCAAATAATGTTAATAAAGATATCAAAGTGGTCACCATGCATGGAAGTCCTTGAGGGAATATCATAAATCTTTGTCTTTGGTTCAGGTCTACTCAACACTTTTATTAATGAATTAGAGGAAGTCAAGATTGGCATGCTTATCAAATATTGAGATGACCCAAATTTGGGAGGGACAGTTGTTAGCAGAATTGGATGACAGAGTAGACCACCCATCAAAAAAGTCACAAACATAGTAATTTGGGTATGGATTGGATCTGA